GAAATTAGAAGAAGAAAAAAAAGAGAAAAAAATGGAGGATGTTCTGCGAAAGAAAGAAGAGAAAAGACTGAAAAAAAAAAGACAGAAGGTTAATATGGAGAATGAATAACCGTCATGCTAAATAACTGAATATACATTTAAAAATCAAGCATTACAAGAATAAAAAGGGATAGAAATGGAAAGACGGTGCACTGATATAGCGGAGTAATAAAAATTTGAAAAGAGATAGAGAGTGTCTTTAATTCGTTTATGTTAGCTTTACAATATGTAACATGAAACAATGGGCTTCTTATATATTTTGAGCCCAATGAATCCTCGCAACGTTTTCGCTGTATAAATTAAGTTAATACACTTGTGACTCGTGCAACCAACATAATGGACGAAAATGAAAATGTGAAAAAATTGATTAAAAAAGTTGATCGGACAAACAAACTCCGATTGGGTTGAAATTTTATGAGTACAATTATCACGAGGATACAAGTCCAACGGTAGGTTAATTGATTGGAGTGTAAGTTGATAACGCTAAAATTACAAACACATGACAGAGGTTGGGGAAAAGTTATCAGAATCAATTCAATGAACAGACAAAGCAACCAACTCCTCTAGAAGACCATACATGGCAAAGCATATAACAATTTTCTCCTTTTGCTTAGGGAGGTAATTTGGTTACTAGAGAGGACTGCTAGGTCGCGTTATGATATACAGGTCGTTGTACTTTTTTTTTTTTCCTTCTCTTTTTTAAAAAAGGGGTGAGGACTTCTCAGGGGGTCACTACTTTCGCCCAAGCACGCTTTCATTTGGAGTTCTGATGGGATGTGATGCATTAGTGCTGGTATGATCGCACTCATATAGGTCGTTGTACTTAACTAGAACACTTTAGTGCTATAGTTCAACCTAGAAGGACTCGGGGGTGTATTTATATAAAATAACTCAATTCATACTCAAAATTTAACTCAACTCTAACACAAACTCACTATCCTCGATATTATCAATGTAATTAAATAATATCAACTATTTATTCTTGCACATCACATCACATCAACTATAATTCACTATTCATCCACTCACATAATTTTAATTAACCATCACTTCACATTATTTTCTTATACTTTTACATTAAATTAATTTTAATTATTTTATTTTAAATATTATTTTAATATAAAATAAAAATCTCACTACCAACTAACAATATCACATTTATTAAAATTAACTACAGTTAACAAAAAAATTATTTTGAGCAGATATATTCGTATACAAACACGTCAGCTGAAGTTGACTGGGCTACTTCGGCCGAGCTGAGTAGCTCGGTCACACATAGGCCAGTCACTTGAGGGCCTGTTGATGAGATTAAAAACCTGAATGTCAGCTCGGTCACACATAGGCCAGTCACTTGAGGGCCTGTTGATGAGATTAAAAACCTGAATTGGTCATGATGCGCAGGTCGTTCAGAGATGAACTGAGGTACCTACTAGTGCTAGTAGCTAGTGTGAACGCAATAATGTTAATGTGATAGTGTGAACGCAACCAGATAAGGACGATTGTCGAGGCAGTCTTTAGCAACAAGTTAATGCTTTTGTGCAGTTATTGGACAACAAGAATTACTGAACACCAAGACACATAATTATTTGGGCATTCAGGAGATTACAATATAAATAAGGGTGAGCTATCATTGGAGTTTCTTCTTCCTTTTTTATCTGATATTTTAAGCATTTCAACGACATTAATTCCCTCATCTCAGTACTAAATTGATCGTTAGATTGTTAACGTCGGGAGCACCTCTCGGCCCTTGTTTTGCATAACATCAGTTTCATTTTAGGCTATTAGACCATCCACTACCATGACTTCAACAATGGAATTGGCAGGATTGTGCAGAAAAAGTAGATAGGAAAATATTAAAAAAAAAAAATTCTTTGCCTCATGAACGAGCTGCTCGTTCTGCCGCCCCCAAGATCATTCATCTCCAATGTGACACTTGTCAAAGTATGAATGGATGTTTATTTCTTTTTTAATTGTAAATTTTAATGGATAATATTATAAATATTTTTGTATTAAAAATAAATAAAAATTATATCAAAATTCATAATTTTTTTTCTCTATAAATAGAGCCTAATTTTGACATAGTTTTACAAACAAACTCAACCTTTCTTAATCTTCACATATTTTCTCTTTCTAGCATATTTCAAGTTATTTGAGCTTAATGGATCCAAATTACCCCAATTATTTTTTCAACTCCCAAAATTATTCAAACCTAAATCCAAATCAAAATTCCCAACAATTTTCTAATTTTTCATATTATGGAAATTCTCAATTTTCTCCAAATTTAAAAATAAAACAAAAAGAAAATATTAAGATGAGTTGGGTTGGGTTGAGATGGTGTCATTGATGTGAGTAAAAATAAAATTGGGTTGTGGGTTGTATAGGTGGAGGAGAGAGAAATGAGTATTATATTAAAAAGTTGGGTTGGGTTGGGTTGTGAGGGGTTATTATAGTGAGTAGTCTTAGGTTATTAGACTTATTAACCAGGAGATTCAAGGAGAACGTGTCGCTGGAAAATCAGAGTTACTTGGTACGCCTCTATCACCTATTTATATTATGCAATATAATATACTAGTATCATACCCATGTACTACACAGGTAATTAAATACAGTAATATTTGTGCAATAAAAAATTAAAACCATTTATATTTTTATTGTGAATTTATGTATAATGAATATACAACAATTAACAAAGTAATAATTAATTTAATATGGCGCAACATTTTTTCACTAAATTTATCAAAAATGATATTTTTTAATTATTCTTTTTAAATTATATATGTCTAAAACAGATATTATTTACAACTCGGTATATTTGATTCGAAATTTTTTTTAAAACAAAATAAGTCTTATTGTATTGTGATTATATTTTAATATTTATAGAGTCGGTATCTCCCGTTTATTAATTTTTTAAGTTTTTTAATTTTACTTAATTTAATAATTTATAATATTAATTTACGCAGAAATGTATAATTTCATAAGTTTATGAAAAGCAAAATTATTTTATTATATTTAATTCTGATATCCCTTTATATTTTACATTTTAAACAACATAATAACGTTTAGTTTCTTATGTGATATATTTAAATTGAGAAATAATATTTTACAATATTTATTATAGTTTATTTTATGTAATTCTTAATTTCCACATTTCATAAAAAATCTATGGAAAAAATAGCTTAAATTAATTATTTTATTGTGTACTGATAAATTATATTTATATTTTTATTTGATATTTTATAAATTTTTGATGATAAAATTAATTTTTTTATAAAGATAGGTGAAATTATTTATATTTTTATATATGCAATATGGATTTCAAATCGAAAATTGATAAAATATAATTATTTTAATATATCATTAATAAAAAATAAAAAGATACAAATAAACAAGTTATAAAGTTTTATATACATAAAAAATACTAATTCATAATAATTAATATATGAATTAAATAAGAATGTGTAAGAATGATATATAGTAACTTAAATGTCAAAACCAATCATGTATATTTGTCAACACGAAACACAAAGTTATGACAAATAAGCTTTCGAAGTACACGAGGTTGCCACTTATGCTCAACGTATTCGATAATTATATATAAGGACGATTTATTAATTAATTTTAAATATGATATATATACTTCATAATTGAAATATATATTTTTATTTTTAAATATGATTACCTCTCAATGTCAGCCTAACATCAACCTTAAGAAAAACATAATTTAGTTGGCCATTTACTCATCTTGTTTGTTCATTGGCCTTTGATGAATTCATAAAGGCTAAACACAAGACTACAATGTACAAACTTTGTCCAACCGCCACCATTATAAACATATTAAAATATTGACTAAACTATTACGGCGGTGGGTCCCAATGATATTTATTCTTACATGATATATTTAAAAAAATCCATTTTAATTTAGCTCATTGTTTAAAACTGAGTTAATTTCAAATAAAATCTTTGAGCAGATAATTGAATGTCGATTGATCGATATTATTTAATTTATTGACAATATTGAGAGAGTCAAATTAAATTTTAAATTTGAATTGAATTTTAAATTAAATAATGTAAAAAAATATTCAATTAGACAAAATCGATTTTAATTGATCTCGAGCCTCTATGATCAATTGACCTACCCTATCCATCCGTACACGGCTACACATTCATAGCTAGGATTTATTGAATTGATACACCAAGCTCTAGGCTTTTTGATTATCTTAGGTATTATTGGTAATTAAACCTAAATTATTGGTAACTAAATAATAGCTAGGGTATAGGTATTTTTTATGGCAATTCAAGCATTTTGACCATTTGCACGATGTAAAGATCAATGTATTAGTAGTTTCGTATGAAATCTCAATCATTTAAATAAAAGATTTTGTATTTCATAATCACTCAAATAGGACCCTTCAGGCCTTCACTATACCAATTTGTTTCATAAACACTATATATGTAAATAGCAATTGTCATTACTTTAAAATTTTATATAGAAACACGAGTATAGGGACATGTCTGTATATGTATCAAATCAAACAAAATTTATCGTAATTCTATATTATTAGGTGTTAGAGTTCTAATTTCAATTTATTAGTTAATTTATTCTTGTCTAGTTTTGTAGTTATTTTAAGACTTTTAGGATTTACAATACAAGTTGTTTTATTTTCTTTAATCCATTATTTTTTATTTATAGCAATTTAAAGTTAACAATATTCTAATTTTTTATTTCTTCATTGAGAGTGCCTTTGGATGTTTTCTATAATATATTATTTAATTAATTAATTAAAATATATAATTTGTGAATCTCATTTTTTTTTTTCAATATAAAAAAGTGTAAATAAAGGAATAGAGGAAAATTAATAACTAAATAGTACATTATCTTATNAAATCCGTCGTGCCCCCGTCCCTTATCCATATGTGCGGGATATTTTCGCGCCCCACACCAACCAAAAGAAAGTCAAAAAATGAATACAAAGACTTTGGCACGTGCGAACCGCGAAAAATATCTGGCTGGCATCGGCGGAAGATATTATCCGACGTGGCATCGACCGCCTACACTGACATGTGTAAAAAGCGCCTCCAAAGTGGAGCCTCTTGCTTCAGTTTCTTCCCGAGGGTTTTTCTCCTTTTTTTCCTCTCGATTTTTCCTTTCGTTTTCTCCAGATTTTTTTGTTTCTTTTTTGTCGTTTCCGATCCAAATTAGTGCTGTCACGCATTTTTATATGCTGCGTGTCGAGGAAGATTTCCGGCCGGAGGCGCTGCGTCGGCCCCTGCCGTCGGAGGCGGATGTAGCCTGCGATCGTGAGTTGACTCGCTCGAGGTCGGGTGCGTCGTCTTTCACCGCCGAGGACTGCAAAGCTGTTGTTCGCAGCTCGGAGGATGTGGCGCCGGTAAGCTTTCTCGTCTCTCGTTCTGGAAATTTAGGTTGATCGAACTCCGATGAGTGACGTGCTTTTGTATTTCGTTTATTCGCTTTTGTTAGGAGGCTGTTGGGCTGCCGTGTTTGTGTGTAACATAATTGCATGTGATCCGTTTTTAATGGCATTCTTGTTTTTTTGAGATGTGTTGGTAAAATTGATGGAGCTGGCGAGTAGATAATCTAGGGATTTCATGTGGTTCTTAAAGATTTTGTATACTGTTCTCTTCTCAAAGCTTAGTACTAAAAGGACAAGCATGAGGGGTGGTTTTTGACCTGAAAGAGATGACTATGTGATGGTGAATTGTTTGAACTGAGTAATTTTTTATTGCGGATTTGCCTTGTTTCGATTTGATGTGTCTTATGAAGGACAATGTGTTACTGTGATATGGAAATAAGACATAACATAAATGTCGACCGCATTTGTTGGTTAAATTACTGCCACGTGGTTGTCGGTGCATATTGTGCACGTGGAAGCAAATCTTTCATCTACCTGAAATTGAAACTGAAGCTAATTAAGTATATAATGGGGTGACATTCGGAAGGTACGAATTTAATTGTTCAATCCTAGTGATCTTTTCTGAATATTTGGCAGGTTCTATTAACTGCATAGTCCTTAATGGTAGCTTCTCGATGAGACGGTATAATGGTTAGCACGTTTTTTGTCTACATAATTACGTAGAACACTTTAGATGGTTATCAGGAAGAAAGGCCAAGAATATGGTAATTTTTGTTAGCCACAAATTATGAGGTGCTGTAGTCTAGAATTTGATTGTAAGTGGGTGAGACATGTTTGTTATTGTAGCTCTCTTACATTTAGACAATAATGACAATTCAGGTTGTATGCCCAAGATATCGTACACTTTAGAAATGTCATTGTGATATGGTGGTGGAGAACTGGCTAGTTGAATTTAAATCGGAAGCTTTTATATGATAGTATTTCTTGTGCTTTTAATTTTTGGTTAGCCCCAAACAGTTGGTGGTTTATGACCCGAGCATCCAATTAGCTTTGCTTAAATATCATTGAAGCCCTTCTATTGAAGGCTTCTTCCTTAGCCTTTTCATGCATATTTTTCCAGGCTGCTTTTTTATGCATATTTTTCAGGCTGCTGCTTAAGTCTTATGAAATGTAATTTCTTCCATCGTGAATTGTAACATGAAGCTAATAGCGCACGTAATTTCATCAAGAATGTGTCCTAGATTTACATTTACTTTTGGTAGTTTAGTGAAACTTCTTGATAATATATTTTCCTTTTAAAACTTCAAGAGAGTGGTTCGGAGTTCTTGCAGAGTAGAACCATGCATATTTGTGTAAGGTTTATCTTCGCATGTCTTCCTGCAGGATGATGGTACTGCATGGACGGACGAGAAGCACAACTTGTATCTTCATGATTTGGAAGTGTCATTTGCCGAACAGCTATATCACTCTAAGGCTTTGCTGTGGCAATGCTCAGACCAGAATCTGAGAGATGTGAATATATCTCAAAAGCGGTTGGCTGATGTGAAAAATGCTTCTGAGCAGGTTGAACAATGTTTTGAAGCCCTTCATCCTTTTCCTTATTGCATTTCCAAACTACATCACTTATAAAATAAAATTTTATTTTTGTTTTTGGCAGTTTAAAGTCTTACAGAATAACTGCTTGCGGAAGACTAGCTACGTCAAGGGTGGGCCTCTTTTTGGTAGTTCCTCAGCAGATTTGTCAACCCCTTTTACGAGTACAAGGGGTTACAATTTGAAGAATAATTGCTATCTGCCATCAGCTGAATGGGCTGCTTCTCGGGACGTGTGGAGTGCTCTGAAACATTTGAAAGGAACAATATCTCATAGATTAGGAACATGTTCACAGGAATATTCCTCCAGTGATCAATACCTTGGGGATTCATTTGACTTGCAGAGAGGTGATTTTAACTCAACCTTGTTGCTTTGTGAATTTTATACTTTTCTATTCCATGTTTGAGGAAGGAGGTGAAACTTTTGAAACTCTGACCGACTTTGCCCTCTTGCTTAAGTGAGTTTATGCATCACTTTATTGTCCTTTTAAATGAATTGAGTGAATAGAAGTATTTGTCATTCATTTGCAAAAGTATTGAACTGATGATGGAAAAAGAACGTGATTCTTAATGCTTTCTGGTCATTTGCCATTTTGAATTTCATGTTGGCTAATATGATCAGAGTGAGGAATGAGGATAAATAGCAAATAGGTAGCCTATCCAATTGATATTGTTTTAGCAATGAGTCGGCAGAGTTCCTTTAATTGTAATCTATTACTCAGGCTACATGTGACTGGAAATTGCAAAATTCCAAAATGTATATTTGTTTTATCTGTAATAATTTAGGCTCATAGTTACCCCTTACCGGTGTATATGCTGAAATTAATAATGATTGTTTTATATTCCATAAGTGGACCTGTCGACCCATATCCTATATTTACAGCCAGAGAAGCAAATTAATATGAAACATGGAAGGTGCATTGTTCACAGTTTCTTGGGTTTTGGTACTCCCGAGTCCTGAATGGAATGTGCATAATCAGAGATTAGCATTTGAATTTTGTTTTTGAATTTATTGGATAATATGACAAGCAACAGGGATTATCGTATCATATATACTTTTGTCCACTCACGTGTAGTAATGCCATGCTTAGTTATGATTTAACCATTATTGAGAAAAAATGTTCTCAATTACTATAATTTTTTTTTACAATTGAACTGTTTTCTTTATATGTAATGACTGGAAACACACCATGTTACCTATGATACATCCTTTCGCTTTCGGCTGGAAATCAAATTGTTATCGTTAATATTTCTGCAGAGGGTACTGGGCAGAATTTTCCAGATGAAGGCACATCAAATTTTGAGCCACAGGCAAAAAGGTCGAAAAATGCTGTAGCAGAGAGTTCTCTTCAGGACCAAGTAATCCTTCGAGTTTATTTGTGTTATTTTTTTTTTTCCTCAACATACATAAACTCTATTTTTAAATTTTCACCTCAATCCTTATATATATATTCTGTTCTTTCCAGATTGTACCTTCCTCGAAATGCCCCACAGCAAATTATCCAGGTATTGGCAGCTCCAATCTTGATTAATAATTAGCGATCATGAACCCCGTTGAAAATTTCGAAAGAAGCATCTATTTATTTATTTATTTTTTATGTCACTTAACGGTCAAGGAAAAATATTCCAGATACAGACAATTTATAAAGTGACGAGTGATCCAAATTCTTGACGAGCTTTGCATGAACTCGTGGATACTATAGTTTCTGAGTTTCTGTTAGAATGAATTCGGGATCTTTTGTTCTTGCAGTGGATTCATTTATTTGTCCTGTAGATGAGCTGTTGTAGATGTAGATGCATATTTACATATGTTTACTGGTGCAAAGGAAATTGAATTTATCTATTGTCCATCTGGGGAGAATGTTATATGGATGAGATTAGGCTTTTAATAATTTCAACTTCAGTGATTTTGTGATTTTGACTTTTGTGAATGTATGTATGTATGGATTTTGGATTGGACCATCTTTTGTCGACTTTATAACTTCTTGGATTCGATCTATTTCCTATTGGTTGAGCGAGTAGCATTTGGTAATTGCTTTATAAGTTAATCAATACATGCACTTTTCAAACATCAAAATAATTCCAAAGGCCGAAACTAGGGCCCTATAATAATTAGGCTTATATACAAAATAGGCCTTTAGATCTATAAATAGATTTTATGCTTGGCATGGTTATCAACTCATCATTATCATTGTGAGGTCATAAATTTATAAGGGATCAGATTTACATTTCTAACACTGTGTTTCAAACTTCAACTTGTTTTTCGCTTCATTTGATAAATACACGTTTTCATTATGAGTTACAGTTACAAAAGTGTCAATTATACAACGAAATAACATAATTGAAACATAATTTTAAAACATAAAATCTTTATCCCATAAATATACATACTTATAGAAGTTGAACATGCTTTATAATTCAAACAAACTTAACAATTTTCCCCTTATATATTAATTCAGGACGTGCTGAGCTTAAGTGGCAGGTTCGTATGTTTCGGGATTTTACGTAGCAAAATTACATGCTTTGTTATTAGGCTTGAGTAGATTTTAATTTACTTTTAATCCAAAAATAATTAGTTCCGGATTATCTATAAATATGTTAGTTATTTATGGTCATGTTACATGTATTAATTGCATTTTAATATCATTTCTTATTAAAACCATTGAATTGTAAATGTATTTTAGAAGTTAATAACTTTTGTATTTTTCATCAGTTTTACATATATAATATATCAAATTAATCATCTCTTAATGAGTTTCGATTTAATATCTATACTAGTATAATCCACGTGTATTACACGGGTGTTAAATTAAAAAGCTTTTGTAAAAAATATTAAATTTGTTATTTTTTAAAAACTAGAATAATTTAATTTTACATAAAACATTACTTTGGGTTTTAATTAAATTTTCAATTTATATTTTTTTAATCATAATAATTAAATATTTGTATATTAAATGAAAATCTCAACCCGTGTTGAGTTTTTTTACTTATATCATATAAAAATATCGCTATTATTTACTATTACATAAGTTCAAAAATATATATCTTAAATAAATAGAAATAATATGGTGATATGTATATGCATAAGTGTAGAATATGTTTATTAAATATTAAGCAAAATATATTAATTTTTTTACTTAATTAGATGCTTAATACATCAAGTGTCGTATAAGTCGTTCTTCACAGTTTTTTTTTTTAACTTTATATGTAATTTTAGAATTTATATAAATAATTATTTATTTTTATTACAATGACAACATACCAATTAAATTTGAAACAAAAATTATTTTTAAAAGAATAAATATCAATTTCTATTATAATGAATGCTATGGGATATGATGGAGATGAGATATGAAGAGACACTATGTATTAGATGGAGGGTTAAAAATAAAAAAATATGAACAAAATATTTAAAACGACATTTATTTAATCAATGACAGTTAAGGTAAAGTGACAATTAATAAAAATAGGAGGGAGTATATATTCTTATATATTTTAGTATGACACATGCTATTTGTGCGACTTATATGTATTATATTATAATAAATTTTTTACCTTATAACATATAATTAAATTAAACATAAATATATTAATTGATAAATAATTTAATTTTCTAATTAATTTTAATTAATAATTTTATTTTTATTATAAAAATAAATATAATTTATTTATTTTATATATACAATATAGATGTCAAATCGAAGCTCATCAAAAGCTGGTTAATTTGATATATTATATATGTAAAACCGATAACATAAAAAAGTTATCAACTTTTAAAATATATTTGCAATTCAATGACTATAACAGAAAATGATATTGAAATACAATTAATACAAATATTAATTTATATCCAAGCCTAACTCCAAAGCATGATTTTTTTTTTGTCAAATAGGATTACGAAGCATGAGAGTTTGCCATATTGGCTCAGCGCATTCTGAAATTATATATAAAGGGGATTGGATGTATAAAAAAAAATAAATTATATTTATATTTATAACAATAATAAAATTGTTTTAATATTAATTAGAAAAATAAAATTATTTATCAATTAATATATTTATATTTCAAATAGTTATATGATATAAGTTATAAATTACTACAATATAACGCATGTATGTCGCACAATAATAAGTGTCATTCTAAAATATATTTTATCATTTAAGAATAATTTTTTTACAAACACCCGTGTAATACACGGGTGTTGTACTAGTTGATTATTTATTTCAAATCTTGTTGAACTCGGAATCATTATAATTTGGTTGATAGTTGAAGTCTGTAAATCACATGCCCTTCCAAAAAATCGACGAGCACAAAATTTACGAGATATACCTTATTGGTCGACTCGAGGACAGGTTTTGTATACGCTTAGATTCAATGGAGATTCCGATTTCCAGGAATCACATGCAAGGGAAGATCGGGAGGGACAACACTCGACTTTCTAGTTGACCTAAAGGGCATTTACGCTCGAATTTCTAGTGTACCTACATTAGATACAAAAAATTGTTAATACAAAAAATTACATATATAAATATATTGTATATGTAACAATTATTACATCAGTTGATTTAGGCATTACTTTGTTAAAAAGTATTTAAATGTTTATTAATCAATGCAATATAAACTTATTACTAAAATAATATGTAGATATACTAATAAATTAAACACCATTCTACCTCAAATTCATCAATGAATATGGATTGGATTTTAATAACTAAGAATGTCTTTTATTTTATTTTCCGCACTTCATTAAATATTTGTTTTTATCAGTTTAGTTATTTCCTAAAGTAGCTGTTAAACATGTAAATATTAAGATTGTATTATAGGCTAGGTTTAGGTCCAATTTAGGCTAAAGCCCATCTATGTATCTATATATATGTGTACTCCTCTTTGTGAATAACATAATATATTTTTCCCAGTTTCTTACATGGTATCAGATTAGGTTTACGGTCCCATATAGATTGGTATTTCGTTCGCTCGTCTACGGTCACCTCCGACTCTCACCTCCCATACCATCGTCTTCGGCGTCGCCCGGCGACCACTCGCCGGAAATTTCAGCCGGAACGGCGGCGCGTGTAGCTCACACGCGCCTCATCTCTGTCTCAGCGTCGCCACCTTTGGCCGGCGCGTGTGGTCCACCTCGAACGCCGTACGTCCTGGTGTGGTCGGATTTGATTTTGGTGACATTTTTAATTTCATCTGATTTGTGATCCTATTGCCGGTTTCGTGATCCTATTGGTGTCGATATTTTCCTCTGTTCGTGCTATTGTTTTGATCTGATTTTTGGATATGGATCGTATGGATGTGCATTCTCCTATTAGTGTTGTCTTATCAGGGGATAACTATAGTCTTTGGGCACAGTCTATGAAGAGTTTTTTAATTGGAAGGAAATTGTGGCGGATTGTGACTGGTGATGTGTTGCCACCTGCGCATCCGTCTCCTTCTGGGGATACCAACCCCACACCGGAGGTTCTTACAGCTTACGTCGATAAGTTGGAGGATTGGGATAGTAAGAACCATCAGATTCTTACTTGGTTACGTAATACTTCAGTCCCTACTATTCAGGTGCAACTTGCCCCGTTTGAAAGTGCCAAGGAGGCTTGGAATTTTTTGGCTGCTCGATTTCAGACTACAGGCTTGGCTCACTACTATCAGCTTTGGAGCACCCTGCATTCCACCAAGCAGCAACCGGGTCAATCTGTCAATGAGTTTCTTGCACAAGTTCAGCCTATCCGGTATCGTCTCCGACAGGCTGAGATTAGTTCGGATCACCTTGATCTTATCCAGATTTTGATGGCTCTTCGTCCTGAGTATGAGTCTGTTCGTGCTTCTCTCTTACACCGTCATCCACTGCCTACTCTTGATGCTGCTATTCAAGAAATCACTTTTGAGGAGACTCGTCTTCAGTTGGCCAGGACACCACAGCTTGAGTCTGCATTAGCTGTGCCTACTTCCGCTTCCGCTCTGTCGCATCAGCCTCAGTCACCTGCCCGTGTTTATTGCCGACTTTGCAAGAGTTCTAGTCACCATTTTTCCACTTGTTCTAAGGTGGAGTGTCACATCTGTCATGCTCTGGGGCATATTGCTCCAAATTGTCCAGCGAAGTCCCAACGTTCGGGAGGTTCATTTTCTCGATCTCGAGGGTCTCGTGGGTCTTCTTCA